CGGGGGCAGGCTGGGGGAGCCTCCTGACCACCCCCTTCCCCGTGCTCCTCTCTCCTCCCCGCTGCCCCCAGGCAGATGCTGAGGCCGAGTGCCCTGACTCCTGGACTCCCTTCCTGTGGGCGGGCCCGTTCAGTCCCCTTTCCCCAGCCCCAGGACCCCGGGCTGGCCTCTGCTGGAAAGTTGGAGATGTGTGGGTGTGGCGCATGGCGCTGGGGCAGGAGTGGGTCTCCCCCCCTCTGCCACCCAGGCTCCGCCCTCGCCCGGGGGCTGGCGGGGTGCGTCCACGGAGATCCCGCTCCACTGTCACCGCCACACCCGCTCTGGATGCCGAAGAGGCTTTCCGGGGGCAGCTCTTCCCGCACGCTGTTCTGTGCTCTGCTGACTGTGGTGGTCCCGCTTGTGTCGTGGCCCTCGAGTTTTCCCCAAATCAATAAATACAGACAGAGCGATGGGCCAGTGGTGAGCTGGAGGGAGGGGTAAGGGACAGGGATGGGGGGATGAGGGCGGAGGGGATGGATGTCACCTGTGGGAAGGAGACCAAGGAGGCAGGCCCCCTGCCCGCGGGACCCTGCCACACGACCTCGCCTACGGCCCCCTGAACTTCTCCCTCCCGTCATGGCAGGCGAGCTCCCAAGTTGTTCAAGAATTTCCTGTCCCGGTCCCCCCAAAGCACCGGCGAGAGGCGGCCTGGCTGGCCAGCTCCGCCACCCCAGCGGTCGGCCTGCATGTGGCTGTGGCTCCTTGAGAGAAAACGGAGGCGGCTCAGGCCTTGTGGGCTGCCAGCCGAGGGCGGTGGCGGGAGGCCAAATGGGGGTCGCTGTCTCTGGGCCCCCGGGGGTGGGCTGCAGGACAGGCTGGGAGGGGCTCACGGGCAAGTGGAGGCCCGCTGTAGCTGGAGGACGACCAGAGCCCTGGGCTGTGGCCTCCAGCCTCTCCCTTCCTTCCCCCACTCTTCCGCGACCCTGGCCAGACAGAGAGGGGTTCCAGCGGGCACCTTCTTGTGCGGAAGCCTGAGGAACCCCGGCCTCAGAAGGTGGAGGCGGGGCTCCTTAGCCAGGAGAGGGCGCCACTGAAGCCTCAACGTCTGTACTGTACTGTGGCTTTGGAACCCCTGTGCTGGGGGCGGCGACGGGGAGGGGAAGACAGCCTAGGACACGGAGGCTGGGTTGGTTACGGCTTGTGGCACGTGGCACGAAGGGCGGCGGCCGGTCCTCCGGCCTGTGCGGCCCCTGACCCTTGCAACCCCACTGTGGGTGAGCCAGGGCTCCGGCGCCCTGCTGGCCAGGACCCCCAAGCCTCTCCTGGCCCTGCTGGGCCGGCCTCCTTCCTTCCTCCACGGGGGAAAGAGCTCTCAGAGTTCTGGGCGCCCCGGTCACCCCTCCTCTGCGGCTCCCTGTCAGCCCCCATTGCGGAGCCTGACCGAGAAGACCTTTCTCTTTGTCAGCCTTTAGGACCTGAAGGGAGGCAGACCCGTGGGCAGTTAGACCCCAGCGCTGGCCTGGGTCTCGGCGGTGGGGGGAGAGGGGGGAGGACTGGAGCAGCCTTTGGGGTTGGAGCCAGGGGCCTGGCCTCCGTGGAGAAGAATGGCCAGGTGCAGGGCGCCTCCAGGTAGCCGGGGACGGGCACCGCCCGGGGTGGGCACGCCCACCCGCTCATTCTCAGGCACACAAATCCGGGGGGGGGGGGGGGGGGTGGGCGGGGGGGGGGGCGGGGGTGGCCAGCTTCCTTTCCTGTCCCCATGGCCACTTCTAGGCCATCCTTCGCTCCAGGCTTTTGGGTCACATAATCCAGTCCTCCCGTGCCTGCTGTTTCTGCCCACGTTCCAGGGGACCGGAGGCAGCCAGCGCCACGGCCAGGTCTCGACGGCTCGGTCTCGTCGCCTCCAATGAGCTGTCTGGCCTCTGCTTAGCTCCCGTTTGGGCCCCGGTCATCCCCTGTCCCGCCACCTCTGACATCCTCACACTGGACTCTCGTGACGCCTACCTGTTCTTGTTTTGTGCATCAGATACTGATTCGGCCTCTACTTTGTGCCAGCCGCTCGGCCCACCTTGCGAGGCACCTGCCCTCATGGAGGCCCTGTGATGGAGGGGTGGGCTTACTCAGATGATAAGAAAGACCTGAGCTGGGCAAGTAGTGTGCTGGCTGCTGAGGGAGCTCCGAGCACAAGTGCCGGAGCCTGCCTTGCCGGGGTCGCCCTGCTTCGGAGGTGGCCACATCATCGCTGCGCTTGGGGCTGCGGCTCCGCCCGTCCTGACCCGGGGTGCGATTTGGCCTCCGAACAGCAGGCGGCGCCATGGCTACATCGAAAAACCGTCCATCAGCCCTCCCTGTCCTTCACCACCTGGGGCAGCTGCTCAAAACCGTTCCTCTCCTCCAGTGCCCCCCACCCCGCACCCGCACCCCAAAATCGGGCCCTGGGAAACTCCTCACTCGGGAGAGAAGTGCTGCGCCGCCCATCCGGGAGCCAGGAGATACGGGGACCCCCAGGTCCAGCAGAGGCGGCATCCTTTCATCCCCACCCCCCCCAGGCCTTCCCATCCGAGGGGGCAGTTTGTGAGAGGAAAGTTTTGGGTCGCCTGGGTGCCTAGGCCGTGAGTCTGGCCGCCTGCGAGACAGGAGGGGCTGGTGCGGCCAAAGACAAGAACTGGGGGGTGAGGGGGTGGAGGAGCCTGGGGGGCTCTGTGAGAGCATTTCAGCCTTGGGTAGCAACAGGTGCCCAGGCCCGGCAGGGTAAGGGCTGGGCCCTAGTCTGTGAGCGGTGGCGAGCCGCCGGCGGGATAGCAGGTGCTGAGCTTGGACAGCTGGAAGAAGTGGGGCGCTGTGAGCTGGGAATGGGGCCCAGGTGTCGGGGGACCAGTCCAGAAATGAGAGGTTCCAGACCGCACAGGGCGGGCCACGCACTCTGTCTTGGAGCAAACCTGTGGGTGGCGGGGTTTCTGGAGATGCTCAGCCTGTGGGTTCACGCTCCCGGTGGGGATGCCGGTGGGGGTGGGGATGGTCCTGGGAGGCCTTCAGGGGCCAGTGATAGGCTGGGGGTGGGGAATGAAGGAGCCGTCCCCGGTGGCCCACATGTTTGGGACCATTCGCCGAGAGGGGTTGAACGGCTGGGTTTGGGGGAGAGACGAGACTGGTTTTGGACATGGTAATCTGAGGTGCCCAAAGGGGTGCCAAAGAGACTGTTTCTCATCCTTCTTTGCAAATGTGGGTCCAGCTTTATATTGAGCATCTGCTGTGTGCCAGGCAGTTTCAGAGACCTTCACACGTATTAACTCAACCTCTCTGTATCATCTTCACTTTACATGTCGGGAAACAGGCGGAGAGGCCGAGTGACTGAGCCAAGGCCACACGGCCTTGTGCTTTGCCCCCCTGCCCGCCTCTGTGCAAGGGAGGAGGGCTCGCCGGGAGCGTGAGGGTGTACGTGGGGACTTGGGGCAGGACTGGTGTCAGGGACACATGTCTGGGGGCCATGTGGGACCGGAAAGATGGAGACCTCTGGTAGGGGACTGGATGGGAGGGGAGAGTACGAAGGAGTCGAACCCGGGGGAGAAGCAGGCCCGTTCGGGAGACGAAGGGGCCGGTCGGGACTCAGCCCCTCCTGCCAGCCGCTGCACGGGCACATGGCTGCCACGTTCTCCACCTAATCTCAGCTCCGTCCGGGCCGTCCTGACTCCATCCCTGTCTCCTTGCCCAGGTGGGCAAGACACGAAGTGCGGAGTATTCGGAGAGAGCACGTAGCCCGGTTTGGTTGATTGAGGGCAGTGGCGAGAAGTGGCTAGAGATGGGCCTGGAGATGGAACTCTCTCAAGAGGGCGCTGGGGAGCCATCGGAGGGCTACTTGGAGGCAGTGCGCCGACGGGATTAGATTTTTGCTTGGAGAGAGGTTTTCAGGATTCTTCAACCCTATCTGGCCCTTGGCGATCCCTACAAAAGCCTCGCCTGCAGATCTTGTCTCCAGGCCTCGTGGGGATTTTGGTAGCTGTCCTCACGCCAGGGAGCCCAGCTTGCCTCCCACGACGCCCCGCGTAGAGGCCCGATGGCTCCTTCTCAGTTTAGCCTTGTTCCTTCAACTGTTGCTTTATATCCTTTAAGTTAGGTCATTGAGTGCAGATGAATTTAGAATCGCTCTATGTTTCAGGGTAGTTGAGTATTTGATGCTTTAATACTGCCATGCTTTGCCCTATGGTCCTTTCGCCTGATAGTAACATAGCAACTATTACTTCCTTTTGGTTAATATTTGCCTGGTATATCTTGTTTAAGCCTCTTCCTTTCAGTTAGGATTCGTTTTAGTTTTAGCGACCTATTATTCACGTCTCATAAAATTCACCCTTTCAAATGTACGACGTATTGGTTTTTAGTGTATTTACAAACGTGTGCAGCCGTCAACCACGATCTAACTCTGCGACATTTTCATCACCCCCTCCCCCCAAAACACCCCCGTCGCTGTTAGCGGTCACTCCCCATTTTCCCCAACACCCCCACTCCCCAAGCCCCCCGGCAGCCACTAACCTACATTCTGTCTCTGCGGATTTGCCTATTCTCATATTCCATGGAAATGAGATCGTACAATACGTGACCCTTTGTGTCTGGCTCCTTATGTTTAGCATAACGTTTTTGAGGTCATCCACACCGTGGCGTTGCGAGAGTACTTCACTTCGTTTTTTATAGCCGAGTGATGTCCCACTGTATGGAGACGCCACATTGTGTTGATCCGCACGTCCGTTCGTGGACATTCGGGTTGTTCTCTCCTTTTGGCGATTGTGAATGGTGCCGCCGTGAACGTTTCTATGCAAGTTTTTGTGTGGACATATGTGTTCAGTTATGTTATTTGATAGCATTCACCTATGAAGTCTCCTGCGCTTGGATTTTCTTTGTGGAGACATTAGTTATTTTAATTCCAGCATAGCTAACAGCGTTATATTAGTTTCAGGTGTACAATACAGTGATTCAACAACGGCATCCCACCCAGTGCTCAGCACAAGTGTTTCTTCATCCCCGAGTTCACCCATCCCTACACCTGCCTCCGCTCTGGTCACCGCCAGTGTAGTCTCAGATATAGCTAAACGTCTGTTTCTTGGTTTCTCTCTCTCTTTTTATTTTGCTCGGTTTTTGTTTTGTTTTGTTTTTGTTTCTTCAATTCCACATATGAGTTGAAATCGTGTGGTACTTGTCTTTCTCTGCCTGACTTATTTCACTTTAGCGTTATATTCTTTTTTGGTGTGTGTATAACAGCTTTATTTTTTTTAAATATGAAATTTATTGGGGCGCCCGGCTGGCTCTGTCGCTTAAGCATCCGACTTCGGCTCAGGTCATGATCTCGCGGTTCGTGAGTTCGAGCCCCGCGTCGGGCTCTGTGCTGACAGCTCGGAGCCTGGAGCCTACCTCGGATTCTGTGTCTCCCTCCCTCTCTGCCCCTTCCCTGCTCATGCTCTGTCTCTCTCTCTCTCTCTCAA